ATAATAATTAGTTTAATGCAAATAAACGTTAAAAAACGTAGCAAAAAACCTCGTTTAACCAAAACCATACAAAAAAAATAGTACTTATAGTTATGTACGTGGTTCTCTTCAGAAGATCATAGAACTAAATATTTTCAGAACATTATATTACTTTAATTTATATTTATAAAACATATTTGCATATACCTATTATATTAAAACACACTCGTCTAAACTAATCAGTAGGTTATAAATGACAAAATAAAACAAAACATAATATAATTTGAGTATTCCTACAAAATCTTATTTGTTTAAAATAAATTCACCTGAAAAATTTACCTAATCAAAAAAATACAATTTTGATGTAAAAAATTAAACCCAGTATGATGAACAACTTTGGCCACTGTTGTTCACAAAAAAATAATAAAAATAATAATTAAATTTTCTACTAAAATATGTTTATCATTTCAATAATTAATTCGATTTGACATTATTACTACACATAACTACAAATATGTACACTTCAATCTAATCAATAATCAATTTATCCTTACTCTAAGAAGATTGGCCGAAATAATTTTTTTTTATCGCTGCGTTAGGTATTTAATTTTTGATTTTTGTATTTATTGACATTATGCGTCCTATCAGGTATTATATGTATGTATAATATAATAAATATACACCTATATAAAGATTTGCCGCAGGTGGTTTCATCTTCGGTGTTTTCACCACGCCACTACTTTACTCAACAGTTTTATGCATGTATAATAATATTATTATAAGCGCGTTAAAGTTTCGCTATACCTATATATATGTATAACATCTACTAAATATTATATTATTACAACTAAAGTTAATAATTGGACAGGTAATCTTCTAAATAACAGCGTAAGTGTAATGTGTTTAGTAGCCGGGTAAACTTTTATGTGGTGTTAATACTTCGTCGGTAAACTTACGTTTTACTGTAGCTATTAGCATATATTATTTCGGTTCCAACAAGTAATTGGTCGGATTCCAGAACTTCACTGAACTGGCCTCCAGGGACATGGGGCATGGGCACACTGTTGTTACACCGTGGTTACAGTGTTGTACGGTGTTGCTGCAACAATTTACTGGCTGGCAATCGCAAACATTATTTTCAGCCGTTCGCGGTATTTCCCATGATATAACATGTCTAATGCAAAATATCATAACACGCTGTAATTTGCTGTACTCGTCTCAAACCGTTATGTATATATATAGGCGATACAAGTAGAATACAACAAATGATCATATTTATTGTAACCACAAAAAAAAAAATCGTTAAAAACAACTATCTCCACGATTGCGTTCCGAGTAAAATGTAAAATAAATTTCCCTACCGAGTGAATTGCGAATACGGCATATTATATTAAAAAATAACAAACTCAAAATATTATTACAAGTGTACGGCGAATATCGATTTTTGAATACCTTTACAAATGGCATAACATTATTATTTCTTTAATAGGCAACGACGCCGTTCTGTGTCTTTTACCGCGCTAATATGAAAACATATACATTTTTTTTCCTTTTAGCGACAATAAAACAAGTAGGTACATACAATCATTTTTTTAACGATAAAGTACCGTCGCAATAGGTCCTAGGCTATTTTCGAAATTTACGTAGCGGAATAATCGTTTTTTATGTTCAATTTTACGACCCGAGTTTGCTTTTCTAATATCTAAAGGATCGATAAACCGGAATTTGATATCCACGCTATTCTACTGTTAATGATTTGGTAAAATATTCCAATTTAAAGAGCATAAAACAAAAAAACCTACTTGCTTTAGTTACTTGCTATACTGCTAATATATGCAACAGCCAACCGTTTACTCCGCTATATAATATGCATTTTTGATTTTAACTAACCTTCGCTCGTTTCCAAGCCACACACGATGATGCCCTAGAATGAAACCTTTCGTTTTTAATCTGTATCTATGTTAATACTTGGTCGTAAACGTGCACGGTTTATAATATTAATAATTTCTCTGAGGGAGCACTCTGTCCAATGAGTTTTTGAAATAAAAATTAATTCAACGGAAGACTTGATATTTTATAGCCATAAGACACAGCTGATGCACTCAAGTGTTATTTTTTGTTGGCTTTTTTTTCTTCTATACGACCTGAATACACGTGGTAGTATATGAGTTGATTTTTAGAAAACCAGCTAATTTCATTTCAGTGTTCACAATGATAGTGGCGGTCGCGCCTGACCCTGTTCGGTATTGATATGCGATTGGTTATTTACTTGAAAACTTACTACTCGGCTACTTAAAATAGCGACTGTGTTTTCGTTGACAACAGTCGCAAGACACAACAAAGGCCAAGCCAAAGTTTAATATTGTATTATATAACATTGATTTATATATCATCATTAAATATGTAGGTAGGTATATGAAATAACAATATAAAAACGCATTATATGTACAAAAAAAAAATTCACGTCATCGAAATAATTTAATGACATAAAATGTGTTAACGCTGTGCAACAATAATGAAGGTCGTTAACTGGAAAAAATCATGGACTCCAAACGCTTTGGACCCGCCTGTCCATTTTTCGAACCACCTAAAATATATAACATAATATTTCAAATAAAATGATAAATGATATTGTTATAAGTATCTTTTATTATTTTCCATAGACTATACCGACCTTGTTGTAAGTTTAAAGTTAAAATAAATTGCATTTATTCATTTTTTTATAATTATTATAGCTTCAACAACATCGGTTATTAGCCTGATTATGCTTGAACATTTTTAAAATAGTGACCTAAATGTAAGTGAATACAATATACTTAGAAGTATAGTAGTACTCAAATCAAAAATAAGTATTACAAATTATACAAATATCCGTCGGTTAGCCCAGCATTACTACGGGCAGATTTATAGTATATAATTTAGCCACCCCTTAAAATAGTAAACCTACAATAATACTGGTTATATTCTGTCGTTAGCACCATACCTACGCCAGTCGTATCCAACTGTGGTACACGATTTAAGCTGCAACGGCTGTTTTGACTCCAATTGCAATTTAGTGTCAATTATTTGTTACCTCAAATTTGATTCAGTCGATGCGCAGTAGAACCAATAGTTTTCTCTATTAAAATATGTGTCCTAAATACTGGATTTAGTAGAAAACTTTCCCTCGCATAAACATAATTACAGTTGGTTCAAACCCGTATAAAATATACACGAGAACAAGAACTCGATCAAAACTACAGCTGTAATTGTCTTTGGCGAACCCACTTCGATAATAATTGAAAGTAATTCGTCTAAAGTTTCTAACCGCTAAGTAGCAAGTCCTAATATAAGTTATTTTTCTGTTTGGGACCGGTTGGAACAATTTTAGATCCTATTCGATCAAAGACATAAAATAATTACTATATACATTATTTTTAAATACCTAATTAGTAATTATACTGTTTGCTGCTGTCACTGTCCATCGCATTATAGTGTCAAAACGTATCAAATCATTGTCACCTGCAGTTGGTAATGAATAATGATGTAGGTACACACTTCAAAGTTTAATTATAATAATGAAAGTTTCAAATTGGTCTAATCAGTATAAGAGTATAATAGTATTTAAATAATTAATACTATTACGCAGACTTTTATTAAAAATAAATAATTAATTAAGTTTGTTTTTTTTTTTGAAGTACCTACTGCGGTTTACAACTCAAAGAACTTCTCTTCAAAGTTGAAATAGCAAATCTATTGGTAGCAATTCATTACACAATAATATAATGACCGCTGTCGTCCATTTATAAAAAATAGGAAATTGGTCGACTAGTTTCAGATTGTACGTCATGTTTATATGTATTTGATATTATAGTAATCAGTTAATTATCTTATTCAATCAATATATTATAGCTTTTCGAAGTTAGAGTGTATTATTAATCATACCCATACTCGGTTGTGGAAACAAATACCTATGGAAAATAGTTATTCCTATGTTCATTAAAACACAGCCAGGATACACAGCCCTTACCTATAAGTACTATCATTTATCCGTATCAATCTAAAAACTTACATAATATTAAATACTTATTACCCACCTATAGGCAGTAGATAATATGACAAACGTTTATTTTTTTATTCAACCAACCTACGCGGGATAAATATAAATAATAATAAAAAACAATTTTCGAGGGAAACAAATACAAGTTTTTTTTAGTAAAAAAATCACACGATAGTGCACACGAATAAATAAAGTTATTACACGTAGGCTAATTGAATTTAGTAGGTACTTTTTTTTTACATCAACAAATACAATTCTTATGGCTCGCGGTTATGAGTTACCGAAATTAATAAGTTCACAAATAATATGTATATCAGTATATGCTGTATTTTAAGCCATCTCAAGACTATTCTGAATTTTTTAATTAAAAATGTCTTTTCGTTTTTTAATACATTATGATGTATTCAATTTGTTATATTTTTCATATTAATATACTCGTAACGTAGCATGAAAATCAAGTTTTGTATAATTATAACTAATAACGCTTTACAAACAAAATTAGTCTAATAAATTTACAAATACTTTGAAGTAAAATTATTTTTTTTAATACATTTAATTATTATTTTACTTTTTTTTTTAAAATTAAATTAAATTAGTATTTTATTTAAATAATTTAATTAATATTTTAAAACTGGAAAATCTTAAATTCTCATTGGTAGAACAATGTGGTTCTTTAGCATTTTTTTTTTAAATAATCAAACATTTCTAGTGGGTCAAAATACCGAATCTAACGCTTATTGCCGTTTTCAATTTAAAATTGTTACACTTTTTAATTTATTCTCAATTCTACAGTAATGAAACCGATTGAGATTTGTAGGCCGCGTTTTTTCATGAACTAGTAGTACAACCATTATTTTTAAAGAACACAAAACACCCACAGTTGGTTATGACGTGTTGCATACTATTGAATAGAATTATTTGTTCCACTAATACATATGTTAGCAGTAAACAAAATTCTAAAATACATTTTTTAATTTTACAGGTTTGAATAAAAAACACTTGTTTTTGCTGATATCTGCATCAATATTGACATCGTGGCCATTCACATGATTCAACCATCGACGGCTGTAATAACGGCAGAGATGTGCCTCTAACCTACAATATATTATACAAAAATACTACATTAACATTATTCATATTTGTACATAACTCTTATAATTGTTTTTCAATATTGACAATTTCATTTGTAGTCGTTCTTTCGGTTTAGGCGTTTAAAACAAAATATTAGCAGTTAGCCAATACAAATAATATGTAGACAAAAATGTCGGTTTTAAGAAATCGGTTTCTTTTTTTTATTATTATTTCTTCTTTTTTTCTTTCTTTTTACATTGTATGAGTCATTCTACAATATATTTATATAAAGTCTTTAAACAATATAATATAATATAATTTATAAACAAACTATATATAAATGACAAAATTATATGATAATAATTATATTTACACCAGGTATTTTATCTTTTAACAGTCCTAAAATAATATAATAATTATATATAAAAAAAAAAATAATATTAAATTGTCTCATTCGCAATTTGTAATTAATAATAATTTATAAAAAAAAAAAATGTAATTTGCGTTGTAGTTATAAGAGAAACAATTGTACAACAATTATCCAGGATGGAGATATAAATAGATAAATTGATGTGGGATTATACAAGTTGTTATTAATTTTCTACATTTTCCCACTAAATGTTATTTGTGTACAACTAGAACGCTACATACACAACTTTTAACAGAATTGCTTAACACTTACAGTAGTAAACTCAACGATTCACAATCACAGTTGAAATCGATCGATACAATATCATATATTTTTCATAGTAGGACGACAATATTACTCTACAAAAAAAGCGATACTAGCATTTAGACATACATCATAATTAACACATACAAAATAGGTATGAACGAATGAGAAAAATTGTTTACAAAACTATTATACGATACACGACTTGTGTTCACAAACTAATAGCACTTAGTTTAATTGACTTCATTCGAAACGATAAATCACAAGCATGTGCACGAGAATTAAGACACTATTAGTGATTTAATTATGTCAACAGTTTATAATTTACATAATTCGTTATCTAATTATTCAGTAAAACCCCAATAAAACATTTGTTATAAAAAAAAATTACTTTCCATAAATACTACATAACATTATAACATTAAAAAAAAAAAATGTGTACATAGTTTTTTTTTAATAGTCATAACGGATGTTTTTGAAAAATTTAATTATAAACTAAAAAACAACCTGATATATTACAATATTGGTATTATAATGATATAATCTGTGTATTACGCTTTTTGATTTTTTACACTTACAAAAAATTTTATACCTCGACTTTGGTACATACTTTGTAAAAGAAAATTAATGTAAATGTACTAATACACTGTTCGAGTAGAGCATATAAAATGTCAATATTATAAGAAATAATAAACACAACCTTTTAATAATAATAATATAATCTTCTAATTTACACAATTTAGTAGTAGTAAATAAAATGCCAATTTCACATAACAACCCTTGGGGACTGCAACAATCGGTTGTCTAGTGCGATTACTCGTAACATCTGGACGATTAATCGTAATAGGCTTTGGGGAGAAAATATTTTTTTTAATATTTTTATTTTCGACAGGTCTATATTTGGACGGCAAAGGAACAAACATGAAACTATCCAATCGAAAAAAAAAAACACATTAATAATAATAATAACATTAAAATATGGACAACAAATGCTCAGAATTATTATTGACGATTCGAGGAATGTTTTTGTGTGATTACAACGTAACGGCCAAAAAATGTTTACGCGAAATAATTGGACGTTAAACGGGGACGGCAAAACTTGAGTGGGGACGATATAATAAATTTAATTAACTTTGTTCAATTCAAACAAACATTATGTTTAGACACACACATAAAATATGGCTTAGATTGTTATAAAGTTGATGACCCCCACTTTGTTGAGCAATTAAATTTGTCTTAAACACTAAGAGTATTATTACTTTTGAAAATTGTGTAAGTAGAAAATATTGAAACATATTATATTTTTGTTTTTGTAACATCTTATAAAATATAGCTTAGGTGCTCTTTGTTCGGTTATATAATTAATTAAACACATTATCGTCATTTATGTGTAATTAAGTATTTTCATGATTCATTCTAGAAGCCCTCAACAACACTGACGCATTACTAACATTAAAGGTATGAACATAGGAAATATAAAATAAACATCATCACAGCAAGATGGCTCGGTAGCCGAGACGTGTCTGGCCACAATTGGGCCGCACAACTCAATGTTTCTGGTAAACAACTATATATACTTATATAATATTATTTTTATTATTATTCTAAACTTTTATTGAGCTAATTATTAGTAATAATTTAGTAAACACTAAACGCGTTCAACATTTGTATGTAGTTCTCGATTCATGACTCAGATGAACGCCTTTAACACTAAATATGGACACCTCTGTACAACAAAAAACAAACGATATTAAAAGTCTATTTGAATAGCCAATATAGATTTTTACTTACCATCTGGAAGATCGCACAGCCCTTTGGGAAGCGACGTAAAATATTTGTGCTTGAGACCGGCTTCAGCGTTTATCCGCAAATCCGGGTTAAGCTACAAAATTTAAATAAATGTTTTGAGAATTTGACAAAAAAAATGAACAAAAAAGCTCAGCAAAGCACAGCGCAGAGCGTTCACTTTTAAGGTAATACATTAAGAATAGTAAGAATCAATTAAAGACAATGATACCGAATGAATATTACCTGAAGTAATGACGTTGCTAAATTTTCACCTTCAGCAATGTCGTACAACCTGGGGAACACATGACCGAGTTTTTGGTGGGGATACATAAATATTTTCCCTTTGCCTTCTTTGTAACCTTTCAAGTGAGTACAGCCTTCCCAATTATCTTCAGTGGGCGTTCCCAAAATCTAAAAACGAATTTTATTTGTGAAAAACAAAAAAAATATAATAAAACTAATAACTTATTATTTTATCAATTATTGAATCAACCTAATACAGACCTTGAAAATTTTGTCTAGTTGATCGTATGTGTCCCGTACACCAGGGAAAGTAGGCACGCCGGTGATCATTTCAATGAATATACATCCCACACCCCACATGTCCAGAGATGTCGAATAGTCCGTGGATCCAAGCAGAACGTCGGGTGGCCTGTACCAAAGTGTGACTACTTCGTGGGAATATGTATGGCTGGGAACAGATTTAGCACGAGCCAACCCTGAAAGACAGTTGTTGTATTGAAATCCAGTGTACCATAATAACTAAACAATAAATGTGTATAACAATGTATCAGGCAAATACCGAAATCGGCCAGCTTGAGTTCTCCGATCTCACTGATGAGCAAATTCTGCGGTTTAACATCCCTATGTAATACACGCCTTTTGTGAATGTACGCCAGTCCTCTGAACAGTTGATACATGAACAGTCTTACGTTGGAATAATCCAAACCGCCCGAGTGCCTTTCCATATACTGTGACAAATCCGTATTCTGAAAATATAACAAACAATATTAATTTTTTTATTAAATAATTCGCTTTAAAATATGAAACACAAAAGATGGCCTATAAAATCGTTGAGATGAACGTGTGTGAAAATTTAAATGTTAATCAAACGCCGATACGGCTTGTGTCAGATATACATTTGCAAAGTTAACCCCTAAACGATTAAATTATTTGATTTAATTTAGTTGTAAAACTTAGTCTTTAAAAATAGATTTATTTGAAAAAAAGGCTGTAAGCATCAGAACATAATTTTATGTCTATTTCTAAGCTTACAGATCTTTGTATGAATGTTAGCGTTATTTATAATGGTCTTCCTAAGTTACAATATGTTAAAAAGTTCATGGGTCTTTTTTTTTTACTAATATTATCGTGTGATTTCTACACATAACTATTACTTAAAACAAAATGTAAACAAATTCACAACAGCTGTGACAGTGGACAACGGTATTTTCAGACTTTTACGACATATTTTCCCACGGACTTAAAGCTGTGCTCACAATATCCGTTTTATAAACATTGGCTGGGCATTCCTTTTAAGGAAACACAGCTGCAACTGTTGCATCATTAGCATCCATGGACTAGATTAGTCATCACTGGTCAGTGTGGTCCAGTTCCAGCACCCACAAAGATTAATATCATATTTTTTTTTATTAATTTTAATTTTTTTAAAATTAATTATTCATATTATAACAGAGACACACTGTGTTAATAATGTCATACTGTTGACAAAAACCACAAGTCCGGTTTAAACAAAGAAAAAAAAATTACAACGTTTTACGTTGAGAGGCACACATCTTTTTGACACACTATCCAAAATGATTTAAGTGTCCAGGTGTGGACAGGCAACGAGTAGTGAGAACTTACCACATATTCAAAAACAAACGTTAACGTCTCACGGGTGTGCACTATGTCGTGTAACGTAACAACGTTGTTGTGTTTCAGTTCTTTCAACAACGAAGCTTCGCGGATCGCAGTGAAAGGCGCGCCTTCTTCTTCTTGTAGTCTTATCTCTTTCAAAGCGACGACTTGATTGGTTAAACTTGGTTGGGAGGAAAAAACAAAAGAAACATGTTAGGAATATAATTTTTTTTTTTCGAGTTGGCAATAAAAGCTGAGGTGCTTTTTTAAAAACCAACTGAGTTGGGCTTGTTTGGGTATTGAATAAAACAAACATGTGTTGTCTCATATATTAGGGTAAATACAAAACATTTACCGAGGCTGAGTTTGGGTTTTTTTTTGCCAACTCTGTAAAATAAACTAATAATGACCCGTCGAATATACTTACTTACTGTACCCCTTAAACACGGTAGCATAAGACCCTTCGCCGAGCGGATCTAGTTTGATATATGCCTCTGTTTTGCCAAACGGCGAATCACCCTGTTTTAATAAACAAAAAAATTGATTTTATTGTACCCTCAAAGAGAGGTAGAAATACAGTCTATGTTAGTAAGTGAAATACAATATTATATTCACACAAACGAGGTGGGACGGCCCGTATTAATTGTGTCGCTTTTAACGTTTTATTATGCGTGGGGTTCGACGACGATGAAAGTTGGAGTCACGCGCCATTAAGAAAAAAGGAAAATGAAAAGAAGAAAGGTATAGAGAAAAAGAGAAGTTATAAAAAATCGTAAAATATATTCATTATAATAAAACGGGCCCCGGAGATGTATTTGCGACACAATGTGAGCAAATTCAGACGTCGTTAAAAGGAAAAATAAAGGACAAAAGAAATGTCATTTTACACGAAATGGAAAATGGTTTCAAACGATTGGATGGACCACTGTTAAGTAACAAACGCCGGGCAGGATAAACTCACCCCGAATGCCGAATAACGCTTAGTCCTCCTGTTGTTGGGCTGGTTGAGGAACACTTCGGATTTGGGCCTTGGCGGTTTTTTCGGTCTAAGTATGACACGCGTCTCTTCGCATATGTCCTCGTCTAGCAATTTCGAATCGGACGATACGGACAACTGGCGTTTCACTGATCGTTCCGGGTCACCGAGGCCTGAGCTCCAGTCTGAAACGATAAAAGATCCATCCCCGTTATTATAATTCAATGATATGGATTTAGAAAAGTTATCTGTTTTTTGAGGACTATACCTGAGGGTCAGGTAATTAACGGTATAGACAATAGGGCGATAGAAAACCCAAAACATCATATGAAACAAGCAAATTACAATTAACGCTTCGAGTTCATCATACAAACTCACAAAAGCCCGTTATTATATTACTATACTACTTTAATGAGTCCCCTAACTCCTTAAGTACTTGTTTGTGAACGTTAATTGTTCGTCATTATAATTAATGGTTTATAGTGTACGTGTCATAAAAACAAAAATTAAGTTAAGTATTAATAAGAAATGAAGATTTGTAAACATACTACATTTATGCAATGCTAATAAATGGTAAACAATAATCCTTACGCAACAGTTAGAATTGTTTTAACTTCTATTATTATTTCCGGCAATACTACAGAAAGTGGTATCATTCAATATTATATGAATATATTCAATATTTATATTCAAACCTTATTTCAAATTGTCCAACTACCTAATTTTAAGTGCTATGTTAAATGTACCAATAAATTAACAGAAATTGTTTTCTTCTTTTTGTTAACACCTCAGTGATACTTCGCTGTTTCATTGGAAACCATTCAAATGAACCACAGGCTTTTATAATGATTCTTAAAAAAAATTTTAAAACAATATTTCGTTTAATGGCCGTTTGCAGAGGCAGTTTAGTTTTATGAATTCGGGGTCGTACAGAGTCCATAGTGGGTTTACAGGGACCCCGTCGCACATAATATTACTATATAAAATATAACAGGCAAAACTGTACTTAATAATTGTGAAATGGCAATCGCGGGCGCGTTATCGCACGTTTCGATAACGGCCATTCGGCCGGACACGACTATGTAGGCGGCCTACTATAAATTAGAACCGCCATAAATTTTATGCCAAAATGGATGAACGTAGTAGTAGCCCCTCCCCACAAAGGAAAAAAGGGCAGTAGCCGATTTTTATGCGTGCAAATGAAAACTATTACGAACGGCTAGTAGTATAAATGCAGCGCAGTGGAAAAATGTTCATAAATATCAATGTAAGCGCTATGATATGGGAAACATTAAGCTTCAGCGAGCGGGGATTAATAGTGTTTTAGATAGTTGCAATAATTAAAGTACATTAATTCCTTGTAGTTCAGGTACTGCAAAAACGGATGACTTGAGACACCCGGTATTAACACCTTAACTTAATTTTGGTTTTAGTTATTTTATTCAATACAAAAATATGGTTAAATACTTTCATCGGTGGCATTCTTCCCTCCCTAGGTCTGAAATAACATTTATAGTACTAATATTAAATAGTGAATATCTTCAGTTCTCTCTTATACCATTTTCATTTAATATGTTGTTCGTTGTCGAATTATAATAAAACTACCGATTATGCTGGTATTTCACCTCGAAAAATATGTATCTGTTCACAATTTTTTTGTTTGAACTATTCCTACAAGCATTTGTATGAACCAGATATCTTATTATTATCAATCGTAGAAACCAACATAAAAACAAGTATTTAGACAAATTAAAAAATACAAATTATTAATTGTTCAATTTTTTTTTTTTATCTGGACTGTAATATAAACTAACATAACTTAAGTACCATATTTTCAAAATTATATTTATGTAATTACAAACAAAATATTTTAAAATGCAAAATTCCATCATTAAAATATTAATTTACATAAGTACCTTTCTTTTACGCCTTCGTGCTAAATAAATTTTGCACATTTCTTTACCACCGTGAACCGTCTTCTAACGGCATCATCACTCAATAAAACAAATATTTAAAAACCTAAAACTATACAGACCCCGAGACTATTGTTATAAGGTAAGAACTTCCAATACAATGTGTTGTTCAGTGACTTGTAATTATTAGACACTTTACCCCGATCAGTATCTCGCCAACTCCCATAGTGAACAAATGTTTTTCTTTTTGGCGTTGTTTCCACCGGGTAGTAGTGATAAATCGTACGGACCCAGTTTTTGTGCTACCGTAGAGCTTTAGCGGGTGTCTTAAGCGGTGCGCCGCATTATAGAAGATTAATAGAAGACGGTTGGTTTATTGTAACGCTTTAAATTTGCAATCATTATTGTACAGGGTGAATAGCGGTGCGTTTTTTTTAATCGATCATTTTTAATAACCTCAGTCTGCGGACAGAATACTGGAGCTTCGCTCGGGGCGATACCAACTGTATATATTTTTGTGAATGGTTTTCACATGCCGGCCGGCCAAATACCAAACCGGCTTGTACTCTACTACCGCAGTACACGTGGTTTTTAATATTAGTAAGGAGGGTGTATAAATAGAAATTCATTAGCGGCCTCCCGAGCAAATAGATGACGTTGGAAAATATCTATTATTGTTAGTCGACCGTGGAATTTACACGGATTCGGGGATGAGAAGAAACCTTAACGACCGAGGCGGTGGCAAGGTGATGGTGGTGGTGGGAGTTCGGTGGATGTGGGAGTCATCCAAAACGTCTAAATTGCACTCTGTATCCGCTTTTGTCGCGCTGCCAAAGTCGAGTAAATGAATCCCCTCTCTCTCTCCGCCGCTGCTTTTTCACTACAACAGCCCTCCCCACACAAAACGCATAGGTATATACATACTTACATATAGGACTCATATATTGTACACGATTCCCTATGGCCGTTGCCGTAGAGCCGCAGACAACAGCTCTCGTGTGTGTAGGGGACAAATTACTTTTACCTGATGAAATCTGTTCGTTGACCCTTTTATAGATTTAACAGCGGCGGTACAGGAAATTAAAACCGTCCTAACCGATTTATTATAACGCGCAATCTTTGTTGCCGTTTTTCATTCGACCAAATTTATAATAGGTTAGGCGCAAGCGGTTAATGACTTATTCATAACTCCGAGCACGTCCGAGAGAGAGCTTATAAAAAGTGTCGTTGAGAGAGAGAGAGACAGGAAAAAAATAATATTTTTCGACACCACCGGGGGGGGGCGTTGCGCTTAAGCGGTGGTAATCGTTCTTTTTGAAATCTGCCGGGTGAAAGACGACTATTTTGAAACGTTTTAGGGTTTGTTTTTGTTTTTAAATAAGTGCGAAGTAGAGTGGGCACGTCATCGTATATATGATAATAAGCAGCGGCGGCAAGTGCACACTGGAGATGACAAGCGGCAAAGGCTATTATTCAAGGGAGCTTTTCTTCATTTTTTTTTTTTACTTAAGAGTTTCCGCACACGGCGGGGGTAGTATATAATACAAGAAGAGTATGTACTGTGTATATAAGATAATATATACTTTAATAAGAGAAAACCGTTGGGGGATACATGCACCGCCAACGCGCGCAGTTCGGAATATGACGTGAGGTTTATTATTCATAACTAAGAGGGCACAGCTTACGAGACAAATGCCAACAAAAGACGGATAAGCCACAGGCTAACGTTTGCCCACGTTAAAACATTTTCCGACGTGGTATTTGCGAATTACACACAATGCACGTCATAAAACGAGAACGGGAGAGTAATAGACATGAGAAAATCAAGAACCAAGTAATTAAACGTTACATAAATAATATTTGTTATACATATTATATTTTATAAGGAAAAAATCAACGAACCGTTCATTAATTAACAACATCGACAAAAAAATATATACAAATCTAAAACGCACAATGAATGGTGGGCCTTGTCAATAATAATTATGAACAAAGGGTGTTTTTTTTTTGGATTTATAACATAATAATATTACTATGCCTGAACCCCGTTTGGGCGTTTTTACGTCCGCTGCTGCCGAAAATACAATTATTTATAATTATTTTTTTATCAGGCGGAAAATAGGCTGTGGAAAAAATATGGTCCGCGCTTCATAAACGGTTCGTCGATACGTTGTACATCTATCTAAATTACAATATATTATACATTACAAACTCGGCCCGTGCCCGCATTAAACTTGAAATTGTAATATTGTCGATCGCGCGTGTGCTTGTTTATGACCGGATATTTATTTTACTATTACCATTCGATCGTTAAAGTACATAAATTATAACATATAAACTTTTTTATACTTACATATATAAATATATAACACGAGCGAGCAGCTTTTACTATACTTGTTAAAATAATTACACCTCGTGTTTGACTAGGTACAAGAGTTTGACGACACGTGACTCTTTAAAATATGTCATAATAAATGTAGCTTTAATAGTGAAAATTCTCATGCCGAGGCAAAAATGAAACCCTCAGCAGTGGGATGCGCATATCATCTCTTATCAGCTGATTAGCTTATGAATAATCTCTAATCAGTTATCCAGAGATTATAGATTTTCCCTTCTTTACCCTTGCTCTCTCCTCCCATCCCTTAAAAAGGTAATCCAAAATCTTAATTATAAATTTCTTATTTAATATATTTTTTACTTAGACCTTATTTTAAACAGTATTAGTGTATAAATTTAATTAAAATTGGTGTATAACTGAAATTGATTTTTAAAAAAACGTTTAGGTAATTAAATTAATTGAAAAAAGGATGTAAGTCGACAACGCGAAGACCAATAATAAATACCGCATAACAGATGTTGTCTCATTGGTGTGGAAATAGATGATTTACAACGGGTGATTTCCTCTTATAAATACTTGTAATGTTACTTTAAGCAAAGCTGAACATCGCGTAAAGATAGGTTGACCGTTTTAAATTCACATCAAATGTAACTAACCCATTGAAGTTTTTTACAAAAAATTTCTGAAAACGAAGACAAAATTGAAACGTGAAGAATGTAAAACGTAAATATTTTTTAGCTCTTCTTTGAAATAAAACCTAATACAACTTAACAACAATAATTTGTAACTTAATATAGTTCACTTAATTAATTTTTATTGCGCAACCTAACTATATATTCTACGTAACGTAGATTACGTTGAGCTTAACGTTAAGATCCCAACTAAATTAATGTCTGTATTATTTAATTTAACAAATACCGTGCCCTACTGAGAG